GTTGTTTATAATTTTGCAGAATAGCTATTTCCACAAACGTAATAGTGGCAATTATCACACCTTCAAGAACGTATTTTCAAAATAGTAGAACTTTTTATTCCAGGATTCCAGTTATTTGCTTTGAACTTACTATGTCACATTCGTTTCCTGAACTTCAGTTCGTTGTCTTAATTTGTTTGATCCATTCTTATATTGTTATATATAGTTTTTTGCAATCTGCAGCACATACTCACCAATACGTGGAGATTAACAAACTCCACATTGCATGAAAATAATATTAAATAAATAATACTAATTAATATTAATCAGACTTTACCTTTCAAATCCAATATGCCTGAATTGCTTCAGCTTATCTCGATGTTAACCACCAACAAGTTTCAGGCGCTTTCATATCAGAATGTTATGAAGTTACTTTGATTTTGCACAAATTTGAAGAAAGACTACTAGTACTCTAACTCGTAAGAACACGACTACAAGAGCTTCAGAATGAATGAATCCCAAACACTTGAATGCCTGAATAGGCTGGTAAGCCCGTCACCCTTTGAGGAGCGGATTCCGAAGCGGTGGGGCGCGAGCGTGTCGAAGGGGCTCGAGTGCTTGGCGCGGGGCGCACATTCTCACTACCTCCTTTGCCGGTTGCCTTAGGTCTTAGGTCGCTTTCTCTTAGGTCGCGGGGTGTTGCCTTTCGCAGCGCGGATGTATCTTGTTATGGTTCTGGGGGCATGGTGGGCTTTCACGTGTTTCGGAGGCCGGCAAGATGTCGTCTTGCGGGTGAGCGCTTTATCGTCGCGAGGTGCATAGGGGAAGGGCTGTCGTCAGTTTGATCAGCCTTTTGTGGCTAATCACAGTTAATTCACAGAAAGCAATTGATCAAATTATAATTAATACAACCACTACTAGATATGAAATTACAACAAACGTTTTATGATACAGTGATCACGTTGCACAAATTACAAGTAGCGTAAAAAGTATGTGTAGATTGCTTACTTAAAGTAAAATAAAATTATTTGTAGACATAAGGCGACCATTTTTTGCAATTAAAAGAACGAAAGACTTCGAGAAAAAAGTACAACTAAAATCAAAGTAACAGTATTTAATTCTAACAAAAATACACCAATACTTTCATCCCTTTTAATTATTTAATTAAACGAATATTTTTTCTTTGAATATTTTTGATCAAGATATTTCTAACAAAATATTGGATATATCTGAGCAACATCATGCGTGTTCAGTGAATAATTACAACAATAGTTGCTTTGAACAGTTTCCGAAAACGCCAAGAATGAAAAATTATTCACAACAATGATTATTGTGAAAAAGTATTTTGGAAGTATACTATCTGTAAATAAATATATGTATATATTGAGGCAAAGCAAGAAATATAACAATAAAACAAGTGAACCGATGATCCCAGATAGAAAGTATAAACGAAGAATTTCAGACCGAATGAAACCCGATTTTGTAGAGTGAGGATCGATGGCCGTCAAGGCATTGTGTAGAAATATTTTTGTGTTTAGTCCGAGGAGATAGAAAACGGACATACAGTACACGGGTAACAGGAGAATAGCAAATTTATATGAGATTTTTCGGAAAAAAGTCTGTAATATATTCGTGAGATAAATATATCGCTTTTAAGAATAGAATTTTTATTAGTTGAAATTCAGAGTGGACTTAAGAAGCGCTCCAGAAAGAATTGGACAGTCCCTGAAGTCATTAACAAAGCCAAGATTGTTGTACATTCTGCAAAAGGGAAGTTTAGGCAATATGTGACCGACATTAAAAATATTATAAAAAGACCAAGACATGTTTAAACATTAAGTTAACATTAAGAGTAAGAAAGATTTATGGGTGTTTTATTGGTAGGAATTTGACGGCCATCAATAGAAACAACAATGAAACCCAAGCACATGTTGAACAAAATTAATTAAGGAGGAATTAGAAATGAATAAGACGTGTCAGCCGACACCTAATGTCGCTGGCAAGTCATAAGCAAAATTTGTAGATTGTTCAATTTATTAGTAACAAAGCTTCCCTAACAATAATGAAATTGTTTACACACTCGTACGAGCGGTATTTTAAGACCCATGAGAAAAGATATAACCCTGAGAAGCGTAAGTATGCTGACGCCCAGAAAATTAAATTGAAACCAGAGCTAGCCACTCCATTAATTATAAAGAGAGAGAAAATATTATAAAAATAAATTATTTCGATTCACTTCAATGGTAGGCCCAATACGAGGCCGTAAAATGGAGTAAATAGTTTAAAAGTAAATTAATAATATTGTAGAAATTATAAGTATTGTAATGGGACGGTCGCACATATCAGATGGCGACGCGAAGTAAATATTTTATTTAATAAGGCCTTTGTAAAGAGCGGCCGGAAATGTGCCGTTTCCTGCATACCTGGGAGGGCCGCTAAGCGCGCCGAGGGAAAGGAGGAATGCACCTCCTTTGTTCAGCGCAACTCACGCCGGACGCACCACTCGTGACGTATGGGGATATACGCCTCCCGCACCCGAAACCGAGCAACGGAATTACCCGCGCGCAATTCTTAGACGTTTTTACGTGACGGAGGTAACTTCGGTGAAAGTTGAAGGAGGGCAGCTTTACCGCGGACGCCGTGATAGACGGAGGAACGACGGGTGGCGCGACGACCAATTGCGATATACGACGCAGGGGAGGAATCACGTGTCACGCGAGTTCTTCCTGAGGGACTGGAAAAGGGAGAATCTATCACTTGTTTCGGAGGCAGCGAGGCGAATTGTTTTTGAGCCAGTGGGGAGAACAGTTGTTTTGGAGACAGCGGGGAGTGCACTTGTTACTTTGATTCCGAGCCGGGACTATCCGTGCCTGATCGCCCCGAATGCCACGCCGCCTCGCCCACATTGCAGCCTGACTCGCGTGACGGAAGCCGAACGATGGGACGGGACACCACGAGTGAGTGCCTGACCGCAAGGGCCATGTGAGTACGAGCCGGGGCGTGAAAGACAATATCACGAAGCGATCTGTCATCGCCCGGGCGTGGCCCTGCCGCCCGCCCGCACTGAGCAACGCTGAGGCGCCATCCGGTCGACGCACATCGCTGGCCTAATCCGGGACCGCCGCGGCCGCCGAGTAGTCTTCACAAAGGGATCTGGGGCAAGCACCGATCGTGGCTGCCCGCTGCCAGACCTGCCCGGTGCTGGGATGCCCGAACGCCGTCCTGTAAGCTGGGTCACGACTGCCCGGGAGGGCGAAAACCACGGAACTAAGATGAGCTCTGGCCATGCCAGCCTTTTCTAAGTTAAGATTAGTTATCAGTTAATTGTAAGTTTGTTTATGTCCCTGGGCTTCACCCGCAGCGAATTCAAGGTTAATTAAAGTTATATTAGGAAAATGCCTAAGTCTTTCTCTCCAGTAGTTAGGCAATCACGCATGCCTCCCTCTAGGGAATCTGCCGAAGAAGCAGGCGGGCAAAGCTGAATCGTCGAAGGAAATCAGATAATCGGGTGAGTCGGTGGTTACAGTATTTAAAAGAAGGAATGGTTGATTCACCTAAATGTACTGTAGATACAAACGTTTCACAGTTATCAACAACATTATTAATAATTTTAGAACACATCTGTTAAAATACTAATTTTTAAGAACGAAATATTTTTTATAACAAAATAAATAGAATATTTAAAATGCCGCTTATTTTCCAACACCTCAATTATTTTTCACCGTTTTTTGTGCTATCCACGGAACTACTTTCTTTCCGCGGTACATGTTGAAAATCCACTGAAAACGGCGGGAATTCCATCTATCTGGCAATACTGATCGCACCTTTCGGAACTGTACCGTCACATGACGCGTAACAGTTCGGTGTGTCATCTCACAAAACAAAGATTAATAAATTAGTTTTAAAATGGGTAGGAGGACACTTTTCCAGGAAGAAAGAACCTACAAAAAGAGTCCTGTTCTCCCCAATTGGTCACCTTAGTAGACTATACTTGCTGCAGGAATCATGTCACACTGTTCACGGCAATACGTGATTTCCTCGTAAAACAGAAAATTAAACATTTCTCGAAAAGGAATACTTGGATAACAAGAAGGATTAGAAAGCCACGTTTATATTCTTAGCTTAAACAACGATCTTAGAGAGTAGAAATACTGCATTGGAATGGAAGGACTTTCTTTACTCAACTTTCCACTGTCAACTGGTATGAAGTATCGGCGGGTTCGATTTCAGGCCCCATTGGGGAGATTTTGCATGGCATGGAGGTCAGCACTCTCTATCCTCTGCGCATGTGCGAATACACAAAAGTGATGCGAAACGTGAACTGCGCAAGCGCGGAAGATCGATAGTGCTGTAAATTACGTATGGCATTTTAACATAGGTGAGTTTCTCTGGCGCATCGATTTTATCGATGCATCGATCTCTGGCGCACATTTACTTGTACTGCACAGCACCAATTTGCGTCACGAACCACGATACCACAGCATGGGCACTTCGTTTAAAACGCCAGAGCAGACGCTGGCCGCCAAGTTGCATGGAGAGCGAAAACTGTTAAGAAACATTTTGAAAGTGGTAAAATGTGTCAATTTTCAATGGTAACCCACCAAAAATACCACAGGTTGCAATAGTTGAAAGAAATGCTTCACCAAAAGAAATGTTTCACGTTTCAATATCTTGTAATTATTACCAATGACAATAGGCAGTTACTCCCTTGCGATCTCTGGGGCGAAGCCCGAATAACCATGTACCCGCGTACCATGTGAACGCGGCTCTGCCCACAATGGGGTTGGAGTGGGCAGGCTTCTACTTCTACCGAGATCACCAGTCCTCCCTTGCACTCTAGAGTTTCCCCTTTATGGCGCCCCTTTACGAGGCACACTGTTGTGCAGGGAGGTGCACATCGGCCCTTCTGGTCCTGTCGTCGGATCTAGCGATGCCAGCTGAATTGCCCAGGCAGTAATGGACCTTGTGCCCTCTCGACTATGATCCTCTTGAACCACGCCCTAGCACTGGCATGGTTGTACCTCGACGATCTTTGGCGTTGATCAGGGCCACGAGGTTGGCCGACCGTCACTTGAGTTTGCATCACGCATTGCCTAACCATGCTTTGCGCTATCGACGTGGCTCGCCGAGCACAGCCTGTGAATCGTGTGAAATAATGCTCTTCTACTCCCTCCCGTCGCACGCAACGAGGAATCACATGCAAACGCTGCTGTGGTTCCGCATATGCCAATTCTCCCTCAGGAGTAAAAGTTCCAAAACTAGAGACAAAAATACGGGTAGTTTCGCGTTCCCATCGGGCTTTTGTATGTGGGAGCAGCTTCACCCTACTCTGTCCCATGCTTGGCGGCGCGCTGCCTATTCAGTACACCGCTTGTGCTCTTGACCTCCGCGACTTGACTATGGCCGCGAAACTCAAGGTCGGGACCATAGGCTCGCCTGCTGTCGGTAAGCGAGGGCTCGCTGGCTAGCATCTTAGGAGGGGGCTTCACCCCCACACACAAGATTCCCAGGTAGGCTCGCCTGCTGTCGACAAGCGAGGCTCGCTAGCCAGCTTTCTAGGAGTTTACAGCCTAAGGTTATTTTTGGCTCTGCCACGCTGTCTGGGTCAACTGCCAGAGCGCAAAATCCCGGAAGTTCAGGCTCAACCCCTTCCTCCCCCGCAGCGCACTTTCACCGACGTAACGGTTCTGGCCCTCGTATTCACGACGCCACAGTGTCGTATTCTTCCGGAACAATGTAGATTTCATCTTGGATGGGTTTCCCGTTGCATTCGACGTTGACATTAATTTTACCATCTGGAACGAAGACATTATGCGTGTACGATTGGAATCGCAGAGGTGTTGGCTCAAGTGCGACATTGAATTTGAAATCGGCGAGCTTGTTTCGAGGCAACATCTTGTAACCGGCACCTGAATCAACTTCGAATTTGATTATTTTTCCTTGAACTTTAACCTGTGCGTAATAGCGTTTCAAATTATCGTTTGGGGTCGATTTTGGTAGATGTTGACAATTTGAAATGATCCAGACAATGCAAAAAATTGAAAGATGGCACCACTGTGCACCAATGAATATGAAGAGATGATGCCAATGCGCGTCCACATGTTTTTGTTATGACAGCAGTGAATGTTTTTCAATGACCTTCTTGCATGGGGCGAGGTGTGGATTTATGTAGTAGGTTGTGTCTGTACTTGGCCTGCCTCTAGCACAGTTTTGCGCCTGGGTATGGAAGCCGTAGTATAGGTTCAAGTATGTTTCAGAAAGTATACTTTCCTTGTTATTGTCCTTTGTATTTAGTCGAGCCCTTTCCCATTTCATAGAGTCAATTTTGTTGTGGATGTGAATCGGGGCGTTCTTTTTTCTCAATTTTGTACGAGTCCTGATAGGGATGCTCCTTGTGCTCAGTAGGGCGAGCGTAATCACCTGATTATTAGACCTTCAGGCCAGAAAGCTGGGACGCATACTTTTTGTAAGGATTTCATTGGAATCCCTATTTTGAATGATCTATTGAATCCTTTGGTTTTCAGCTGTTCGCATGTTGATTTTCCAATTCCCTTTCCCTCACGGAAGATTGTCACATCCTCTTATGAGATACTTTGTGATAGTAGGCCTAGGTATAGCCAAGCTGTCTGCTCTCCTGCCTTTAGGAGGTCTTCTTGCGAAGTACCGACAATGGGATTTTTCTCCGGCCCCCCTTTTCTGTAGGGACCATCTTGAAGCCCTCATTGGGAAGTATTTATCCTACATCTTTCGCAATTTCTATTTCGTATTGTTATCGCTGCTGCTGTTGTGAGTTCTGCTTGTCAATTATGTCTCCACTGTTTTTGTTGTTTGTAGTGTATGTTCTGTTCCTACCTCATTGGTATGACTTACTATGACTAGCATAGGATTTTGGGTTCTGATTCTGCGTTTGGCTAGGATTGGGACGGCTGGTGGCGTTGCGCGTAGTTTCTGTTTGGGTTTTTATTTTTTCATTCATGTCGTGTGTCTTTCGATTTACTTCATTTCTTCCTGCTTTATACGAATGAAACTTTTTCACAGATCGCTCATAACCACACGTTTGAACTTTATTGTGCGTTGCTTTCAACGCATTTGCCCCTGTTGCAATTCTGCGCAGCCTTGGTGGTGACAATTTCGGCACATGCCATCGCATTCCACCTCTGATGGTGTCTTTGCATATAGGACATCTGTACTGCATCTTGTTTGTTCTCTGTTATCTAGTCTGTATGTTTTGTGTTACAGTTGTCAGACCTGCGTGTCGCTCTCGTTTGTTTTGGCTTGTGGGTTGGTTATTTATTCTTTGCTCTCTGTTCGCTGACCATCTTGTAGTAAGCATTACAGTTGTCGGCCTCAGGGCCTTTGAGGTCATCAAAACCGTGCCCAAAGCTGGAACTCTAGGAGGAAAGCTGGTCTATAGGCTGCGCTAGTGTCGCTGGGTGCATATGCTGGTTAGGCTCGCTAACTTTCGCCCATAAAACTCGGCGAATGTGTGAGAAATTTGGAAAGTATTATAGATGTTTAATTATTCAAAATATATACATATATGAATCCTCTGAAGAAAGCGCGAACATCGTCGCTATCTTCTGTAATATTACGCGACTGCTTGCTTCTCGGGAACTCACGCAGCAACCACACACATTGTATCGTTGGCAGGGGTTTGTATTTCAGTTTCCATAATGTGGTGCAGGAGAGCGCCACTAAAAGTGTCCCCAACGTTGTATGGGACTTGAAAGGCTGTGTCAGCCCTGCGCGTTGCAGGCATTTATCGAGATGGATTCTTCTCACTTATGACTTCATATCGCCACTAAGCCTTGAGGGATTGTGGCACCTTCACTGGTACGTTTTGTACCTTCTTTGTCTGGGAAGTCACGGAGTTCCTCTTTCTTTACACAATTCCTGTTTTCTCTAATTCTATCACTTTTGAAAACCCGACTCGCTTTACTAACTTTTCATTCCCATATAAAATGACCGATTGATCAATTACCACGCAATATGTTGCCAGCTAATTTCAGTTGGCGCAGGCGCAGACTCAAAAATGCAGTCGATTATTTCCTGCCAACGCTGACAAACTCTCAATTGATGAGTCACAGTTTATGAATGGCCGATTTTGAGAAGCAGTAAGAAGTCAAATTGAAACTTTTTGGTACATCGACCTGATTAGAGCATTTTTAGCATGTATGGTTAAACACTATTTATTTTAATTCCGCGAGTAGAATAGCCTGTAAAATTTCGGAGATCTAACGATACACTCCTCAGATCGGTCGATATATAGCTCCGTGTATATCCTCCTAGCGTCTTGAGAGCTATCGTAGTAAGTATTCTCTATGGACTCAAAATTATGTGCTTATTATCATACATTTATAAAATTAATCTTAAGAAGAATATTGGATCACAATAATTGACCAGGAGGATTCTCTTTTGAGAACAAAATTTACCTCGTGCCCCTCTCAAAATAGGACTGCTCCGCTGATCATCTTTGTTTGAGATCCTAGGGTCTTTGACGCTTGTTAAAATGTTGGTGTAGTACCATGCAAATCGAAGGTTGGATTGAGGGACATATTAGTCTTACTTCTTTCAAGCTACTATTACCTTATTTAACACACCCTCATTTCTCCTAGCTGTATCTCCCTGTTAAGACTCATAAATCAGATGTATCTTCTCTCAAGATCTACAAGAGAACCTGCATCAACTGCAGTTTATTTTCAAGGCACACAAGATACTACATAAAATATTTTAATATGAAATTTATTGGCTTAAGAAACATCAAATTACTTGCTTTTATCTTCCATAATTTTTTCACAAGGTTAGGACAAAATATATAAAAAGAGAAACAACTGTCAACTTCCACTCCACCATTACTTTGGCCCCTAACAAAGGGGAATATTGAGCAATATAATTTGACCAGAAACATACTTAAAATATTAATAACTGCACATCATATTTAAGCCTTCAACAAAAGGTCCCAATTCAGAACAAAACATCAACAATAAAGCACGTAAGCAAAATCACATTTAACACATTTTCCTTACAGCAGTGTAATGTTATTTAGCAGTAACAATACAAACTATAGTGAATTTTGCACATCTCTTTGTTAGCAGTTAAAGCATTATCACAAAAAAGCCAGGGACCGGAGACTGTATCTTGCCAGCAATCAACATTTAACTCCTCTGACACAAGATATAATGCCAAATTATACAAAAGATAGAAATTTTTCATCAGATTTTTAACATATTTCAATTTAACGAATTCTTGATGTAATACATATTTATGTAACAACTATTAATCAAAGGGATAACTGATTTATTCCTCACAGCTTCCTTTGGCAAACTTGTTAAACTAGTAATACAATAATTGCCAACCATGCATGCTTTCATTTTAACACAGTTAAGTCAAAACAGAACTAGAGAATCCATCTGCAGCATTATGAAATGTAAAATTACATGAAAGAGACACAAAATCACATACAACATACAAAAATTAGTAAGTTACAATAGATTATTAAAAACTTCATTTGAAAAGAAATATTTTGTAAATAACATAATTTATTTCAATAGTACTAGTCTCTGTGACCCCTAAACGTCTTGGTCTAATGTGCTTTCAAATCAATTTAAAACCACAGGGTAAAGTATTGTTAGAACATCATTCATCATTATCACTATACATATATGCATCAGATCTTTTTGTCTATCCACAATGGGTCTACTACAAAAATCAATCATGATCATTGATAAATTATTTGATTACATTCCACTAAAACACACTTTTCATAATATAGTAAACATTTACAATAAAAATTAGTATTAATACTACAATACTGAAATAAATTCAAAAGCAATGATTAATAAATGTACACTTTTATAATACATTAATCCACTTACAGAAGTTACAACAATTTTGAGAGAATATACACAAATCAAAATGTCTCCAAGGTTCAGTACATATTTTAAAAAAGTTCAGTGCCCAGAAAAATTAAGTTATAACTTACACTGGCCTTTACTTTGCATATTCAAATTTTAATTACAAGGTGGGCACGAAAAATTATACTGTATAAATTACTCTGAAAATTCACTTTCCGATCAGACAACTTTGCATACCCTCAATTTCTTTACTCTCTAATATCAAAGAACAGTTGTCAAATTTTAAAACTTAGTAGGGTTCTGCAACGTAAAATGAAAAATTCACATTTACATTATGATTTCAAAAATACCATATGCTAATCCATATTTGCTCAACAGACTGCTCTTCTCAATAATCTATCTTCGCTCAAAATTGTTAGCAACTATATTATTTAATTTTAATTTCAATTTAACTTCATTCCTCCCTTTTTCTTTACAAATAATATAATTCAATATAATTCATTTATACTCAATTGCATATACTTCAAAAATGTATTAACATGAAGAATTTTCACTAAAGAAATATTTATTTGAAATGGAAGCAGATGATCAAAATATGCATACAATTAGGTAACTTAACAATTTATAATATAATAAATAAATACAGTGAAGAAAATTATTTTGTTTAGTGGAACACATACTTTAGGTTATAGAAATGCAATGCTAGTGCATTTTTACTGCACTGGAAGAGCAATTCAACATCACAGTTAACTTTACTGACTTGATAAGAAAAGGAACAGAAGAATAGAAAAGAAAGCATGAATATTTTTATGCCTAAAATGTTTCAACCAAATTTCATGAAATTGTAAGCCTTTGTTCTCATTAGTGTCTATACATTGGAAGAGCAAGTTTCATGTACAGAGTTTGACACAAAGTATATCACCTGCCTGGGAAAAAATATTGAAGTGTTTGTGTGAACCCAAGAAATGCGATGAAAATGTAGAAGTAAATACATGAAATAAAGATAGCATAAAGGTTAATTGAACAGAAACTTTAAAGATGTCAGAAGTAGTGAAATGAGTCTCATTTAATTCCATTGTCATTTGCAGGATAATAGTAAGACATTTTCAGAAATTAGCCTGTAACTACATATATTTTCTTCATAGATGTAAAACATCTGCATTGACATATAGTTTTAATTTTGTTACAAAAGCCAATCTCCTTTAGCAATGTTAAATATTATAATTTACAACATTACTCCTATAAAAATTTTTTTGCACTACAGACACAGTATAAACTTCCACAGTGACTTCAAATTAATGCACAAGTTTTGACAAAAATACATTATATTTTTATACTTCAAATATCTAATTTAGATCTTGCTACAGCACCAATTCAGTATCCAACGTGACAGACTATGGTTGCAGGAATGGTTTGGCTTACAACCATCATTATCTTTCCTGTTCTTTGATATTTATTTACAAAAAACACCCCACTAATTTATGAATCCAATCCTCTACTCTTTCTCTTTATACGAGCATATGGTCCTATGTCAGGATCTGTTATGAAGTCATACAGCACACTAACCCAGGAATTGTGTTGTGGCAAGTTTTCATAATATTCTGGTGCTATCCTCTTCACCTGAGAATGCAGGAACAACTTTTAAGGACTTAAGAACAAGGACTTAAAGGTATTAAAATTCCACAACAATGCTTAAACTGGCATTTAGCCAAACATCAACATACCTCGGGTAAAAGTGATCCAGGCACAGCAGGGAAATCATGATGTTCATTATGATAGCCAACATTGAAAGTAATCCAGTTGAGGCAACCATAGTAAGAATATGTTTCATAACCTTTCTTGAACATATAATGCTCAGAAATGAAGTGTCCAGCAACTGGATGCAATCCCATTGCCATTAATGATCCTGCGATCATGTACACAAGGATCTTGCCACCTATTGCAAATTATAAAACATTTGTTTTACCTGTATTATTGATGAAATTCACACTTTTTGTATTAACATAAAATTCGAATATTAAATAGCAATAAGATGAAGTGAAGCTTGTAGAATGTATTTTACTTTTTTTGTTATTGATATTTTATACTACTGACTTCTGGTTTAATGTTAACAATTAAACAAAACCCGTTTCATTACACAAAACTCGACTTGAGATATTTGTTAGCTACCATCAAGGTAAGAATTCACAATAATGAGTCAATTTATAATACCCTACACTGATCTGGTAGAAGAACTACTCTGGTAGAACAAACACGAAAGAAAGAAAAAACTATTCAGGCCACCACCACATACTTTCTCATGTAAATTGTAACTGTCGAGTAATAAAAAATAAAAAAGAATTAATTTATTAATCAACTAATTTCAAGAGTACTGTTTCAGGAGAAAGCTAAAGAGTTTGGTTATGATTTGCAATATTATAATGTTATGTTTCCATCAAAGATAAAACTTCAAAGAATGTGCCCTTAAGCACCAATCATTTTAGTGTCAGGGATCTACAATCAGAGGTGCATCTAGGTATTCAGATGCCCATGGCAACAATAGAACTTGCACACTTCAGGATACTTCAAAATAGGGTAATTGTTATTTGATGTAACGGGTATACTCTAAAGAGCACCCCTTGTGACGGGTGCCCATGGTATGTACCAGGTCTGCCATACCGCTTGTGCATATGGTAGGAGCTTTCCAGTCAAAATATCAGCTTTTTCCCCCCTGTAGCTTTATATAACTTTCTCTGTATTTATCATATCATTTATCTTCATTAATCATATTTTAGAAATACCAATAATCTTTTTTTTTAATAATTCATAGATAAAGTACGGATTATTATTTTTCTTCACTCCATGGGTCATAAGCATAACAGATTGAATTCTTACACAAAAGACTATCTCACTCGCACACGCTCTATCTCACATTACAGCATAAAATCCTTTAAACATTTTTAACCAATATAATGGCAAAATATTGCCTAAAGAAAGTATAATAACTATGATATTGTCATAAATTATATCTCTGTTAGTCAACAAAGGCACATTATCTCTGGGATTACAATTAAAATGTATTTTTATATATTCGTTATTTTCAGTATCAATTATAAATATTGTACAAACCTGTAATATTGGGCAATTGCCTGTTTAATGCAAATAAATAAATAAATAAATACAATATATTTATTTATGATCCCAAAGTAGAAAAATGAAACCGAAAATATGGAATCAAGAAGAATGGAAAATAATTATGAAGAAAGAAGCAAGAAAAAATAAGGAGAAAAGAAGAAAGGAGGAATACCTTAAACACAAAGGTAAGTAATTTCCAGAACCCCCTGAACCTTCTTGCATTACCACTAACTTTCACCTTACATTGATTTTCAATAATTTATTAAGTCACAAGGCTAACACCTGAAGATCACTAAACAAATTTAATGAGAATCTCTCCAATAATTAACTTTATTCTGAATGCAAACCACCTGATGTTGTCAAGTAAAATTCAAATATAAAAATCAGCTCTTACCTAGATAATAATACACAAATGCATTAAATGAAAGTTGAATGATGACATTGTACACTTCCATCGCAGTAGGTGGCTTGGGGTAAGTGATAACAGGGCGCAGTGCATAAAAAAATGGTTGGAGACACACCCAACAAAATTTTCCAAACGTGTTGCAGAAGAGCTTGGCCTCTAAATAAGTGGGAATATCTGTGTCTTTCTTTTCATCACCTTGGTACTGAGGAAATAAAAAAAACAAGATTACTATTACACTTAACTTTTATTTTAAAATATGATTTATGTCCAAACAATCTGAAATTCATGTATCATACCCTATGGTGCTCTAGGTGATACTTCTTGAAGCTCACAGAGAATGGTAGTCCAATAGGCAAGTTTACAAATATTCCAAAGATTCGGTTTGCCAATGGCCGGGCATGTCCAAAGGCCAAATTATGAGATAATTCATGAATGGCTAAAAAGAAAAAGAAATTCATTACTATGCCAGACAACATTGACCATAACACTTGTGTACCTAAAAATATTCAAAGCCTACAAATGATATATGATTGATTGATTTGTTAATAGCTCTGGGCACGACAACAACAACAATCAAGGTTGATTTGTCCCATAAGTATAGTGCATGCTCTTGCTCGGGAGGTGGCAGTGACCTTTTCCTCATTGTATGGCAAGGCACCACTCCAGCCGGGACAAGTTCTAAGCTCACCACCCACACACACACACACATACAATTAAAATCAAAATCAAAATCAAAATGTGTTTACACTAGTTAGAAGCGCAATATTATGAAACAAAACCATGCATTTTATTCGGAGAAAAGTTTCAAAAATACCACAGGGGTTTTGTAAGGACCCCAAACACATTTTTTCAAATACATGATATAAAGCATATTTAAATGTATTCAATAAAAATGAAATGAGATGCAAATTCTTCGAATACAAAATACATTGAGGCATCCACTCAGGTTTTTAATGAATTGTCATAAAATTTCCAAGAGAATGAGTTCGTCAACTACCCCAAGGTACTCAGAGGATCAAATAAATATTCTAAGATATAGCGGGGACACTGGGCCCAAGTCCTTTGGACCCATGCGTCGACACGGCTATGTTATCACCTTCATAACATAACTCACAATTCTCAATGGATAAATCTGCTCCAGAGCCTTTCTCTTTATCTGATCTTTTAGAATGACTATTTCACTCGTGCCTGCTTGTGTTGTAATTAACCATCGCTAAGCAAGACTATATTCAAATTAAACCAGTCCCCATCTCAATTAGGTTTTTGTCGTTTCCCTGATACATTGAGCAAATGCTGAGATGGCCCCTTTTTTTACTTCTGGACGTAAATGTAGTTTTACTAAGCGCACGTTTTGTTGAACTCTCTCTTTACTTGTAGAGATAGGAGCAGGGGTAAGGGTGATTTACTATATTGTTAACAATACAGAAAAATTACACCTGCAGTTCGTTTACCATGGCAAATAAGTTTTCTAAAACTCAGGAATAAAAATGTCTTGTTTTTAAAAAGCCTACTTATCTCACGATTTTTTAAATTGTACTTTTAATTATTCATGTACATTTACTTCAACTACTTATAGTTGAAATAAGGGAAAGGGTTTCAGGAAATTAAAAAAAAAAAAAAAAAAAAAAAAAAAAAAAAAAAAAAGAAGAAAAAGGGGGAAGAATTATTAACGAAAAATTTTTTTTTTTTTTTTTAAAAATTTGGTAAAAGCTTTTTTAACTATTTCCCCCATTGTACCGGCATTTAACTTCAACCTTACTTAAATAGTTGGGGAAAAATAAGGGAAAAGGGGGTTTTCAGGAAATTTAAAAAAAAAAAAAAAAAAAAAAAAAAAAAAAAAAAAAAAAAAAAAAAAAAAAAAATGCGCAGATCAT